TGGTTGTGTAGAGTCGGGGAAAAAGCCACATGTGCTTTTTGTTCCCTTTCATTTGGCTGGCAGGAGATGCATATTTTTTGGCGTCACTCCCTGCGGTTGCTGCTAGCGGCGCCTACGCCCTCGCCTGAAGTGCTGCGGCTGTTATTACTTTCACACAGCTTTTAGCATCCCTCCGCGCCCGCAGAAACAGTTTTCTGCTTCGTGACTCGTTTCCGTTCGTCTTTTGTAGGCCCATGAGAACTTTCTACTGCCCTAAGTTTGGCCTGCTCCTCCCTGAGTTGGCCGCTTTCCTGTCCGGAATTTCGAACTCGACTTTATCGAATCAAGCGAGCTTCTTGATATGCATCCAACAATATTATTAGACTAGTTTCTTTAACCCTGGAGGCATCTTTAGACTCAGGCAACCACTACAGTTGCAAACACGACAGGGTCAAACACGGAAAACTATAGGCAGAGGAACATTAACGAAAAGACCAGGGAGACTGGAATGGCAATTTCTGTATTATTAGCTAGTTGGCTGGTTGATGCTAGTTAGTACGCCAAAATTGGCCATTCCAATATCCTTTTCCTTTGTGGGTAATGTCATTCTGCCTATACAATTAGCTAGTGTGCAGTTGCTGGTGGGCCTCGAGAGGGAGCCTCCAGCCACAACGAGACGAGTAAGTTCCCTAGCCGATCGTTGAGCGCAAACCTACCACGGGAAACTATATTTACCAGATAAAGTAGTTTCCATCCGCCTTGAAGATCGCTCAACAGACGCAAACCTCCTTCTCCTGAGCTCCTTCAGATTTTAAAGTACACAAGTGGCTACAGCCCATAACATGTTTTTTTCCAGATTTTAAAGGGCCGTGTAGTGCATATGCTTATAGAGGACTAACAAGGGTGATTTTCATATTATGAAACGTGGGGTCAAACAAGGGTTTCCAGTCAAGGTTCTACAGTATGTGTGATGCTGGCTGAGCCATCCGGGGTAAGAGAAACTCCTTCATGGGCTGCTTGCTACTGATTGATTTAACTCCCCCAAAGTCAAATGACTAGTGTGCACCCGAAACGTCAACGTAAATAAGTGGCTGTTTCAGCAACGCTCTTCGAATTCCGTGACAAGCAGCTGAACGTGTGACAATACCAGTCGTGAAAATTACCACAATTGGAATGTGAACGCCAGAAGATGACTTACCAGTTCCAACCCCAATTTGAAAACAAATACCTGAGTTTGGACTCTCACATGTTCAGCAGAATACTGGGTTATGCATATTTTTTCGACCATCGGTATCGACGAGGTTCACCGTGTACCCCACAGCAGGGTGGTGCAGGGACGATGACTTGCGTCGGATCATAGGGAACGTAGACATGTGCTGCATGTACCTCACCCTCTGTTCCATTTTTCTCACATGGCCCCGGTGTCAAAACAGAGATAAGAAGACCGGAGATGGGAGAGTGCGCAGGCCCATGCACCGTGGGCCACCAAAAACAAGAGAACAATGCCAAAGTTGGGAAGTAGCTCGGATCCCAGCTGACAGAGATCGTGCCATGAGGGCTACATTGACAAGGAGCCATTGGAGCCTAACTCTCAGTCCGCCTTCCTCACCAATACCCATTTGGCTGACCACGTGATCCAAATTATTTCGTAAGTTGGCAACTTTTCAAGCCACGGCTTTTAGCGCACCGTGATAGCTCCAAGCGCCTCAGATTGTTGCGTGTATAATTAGAAGGTAGCATTACACGTGCTCACTAGTCGTATAGCTGGTTTCAGACTACTTTAAATACGGGATACACATTTCCTCTGTGTTTCGGCTGCCACATACTGTCCAGAGAACGAGTTTAACTCCTCATTGGTTTTACGAGACTCTCGCGTATGCGGTTGCTGACATAACTGCAACCTGAGATGTAGAATTGCAGCCTTATTCGAAATTGTTTTTACTCGCCATTGTGGGACGTCAAAGCCATGCTCGTTAGGTCCAGTATCAAATTTTCCTTAAGGATTGTGTTTTCTTCCGTGGAGGAAAGCAATTCTTGGCACCTGTCAACCTAGTAGTGGTATGCACTTGCCGTGTAGGTGTGTTTTGCCATGATCCTGACGTCGGTGCTGACTCCAGACTTGAAGAGTTGGGGCTGCGATTTTCTGCCCTTGTCTTTTGCGACTGCAAGGGGCCACTCTCTGTGTCCGATGTATACTCAGAAGTCCTATAATTTACTCCAAGCTCTCACACCAGAAAATACGTTGGGAGCAGCGGGATACCCATGAACGAACAGACACCCTCG